CTAGCGGCTCAAGTGGATCAGAACCGGCCCCTCATCGCCGCCTCAACCTAACCTAACCTAACAAAAGAAAATCCGGACTTTAATATCGGAGACCCACCTTGAGGACAAGCGGCCCACACAACTGCTCAACGAGTTAAACGCACTCGCCGCAAACAAAGTTAACGAATCTTTCTTTAAAGCATTGTGGCTGCGCTTACAAACACAAGTACAAGGATCTTGCAAGCATCGGACGCCAGCCTAGAAAACTTAGCTAAGTTGGCAGAAAAAGTGATGGAAGTCGCCGATTTTCATCAGGTACGCACCGTCGACGCCAAGTCGGTGCAAACCAGCTGCGCCGTTTTTGACTATCGTCAGCATCGAACAACAGATCAACGTGCTGCTTAAAGCCCGTTCTCGCAAGAACAACTTGCAAAAGGATTGCAACAGCGTCACAGCTTCAGAGATGTGTTGGTACCACAGAAAATTTGGCAACGTCGCCAAGAAATGTCGCCAACCATGCTCTTTTTCAACCGAACCAAAAAACTAAAACAGGTTTCGGATTTGTTGGACAAATTCGAAGAAGACCATAACACAATTGCCCGCCTCGTCATTAAAGAAAACTTCTCCAAAACGCAGTTTCTTATCGACACGGGCGCCGACATTTCAGTGATGCCACCCTGCAAAAACTCAAAAACTATGCTCACTCCAGGGCTTCTTTTCGCCGCCAATGGCACGAAAATACAAGCCAATGGAGAAAAATGCATAGCATTGCCAATGGGATTGCGACGAAACTTCGCTTGGACCTTCGTGGTAGCTGACGTCAACTGCGCTATCATTGGATCCGATTTTCTTCAATATTTGGACTAACTTGTCGATAAGAAACGACGCAAACTCATCGATCGAGCTACGCTGCTCGAATCAAAATGTCTCGCGCCTCAACGTTAAATCAACGCCATTAAAGAAAGAAATCTTATGGAGAGTGGCGACCGTGTGGCGACTACCGAGCTCTGACCAACGTAACAGTGCCGGATCGATATCATATTCCGTAAGAAGATATTTTCGAAAATCGACCTGCAAAAAGCACATCACCAGATTCCTGTCAAAGATATTCTTAAAACAGCAATTATCACGCCTTTTGGGCTATTCGAATTTTTGTTCGTGACGTTCGGTCTGCGCAACGCAACATAAACTTTTTAGTGTCATATAAATGACGTCATACAAGGCCTCAACCTCGACCAATTCGGTAAATCACAACTCACGTTCCTGGGACACGACATCAGCCAGCACGGTTTGAACCATCCGAAGCCAAAGTGGAAGCCATTCGGCACTTTGAAAAACCGCTTATTACTAAAGATCTAAAAAAGTTTCTGGGTATAATTAATTTCTATCGGCCGTTTATCCCACGAGCAGCCGAGAACCAACACATACTCCAGACGCTGATCCAAGGCAATAAAACGAACGACAAAACCCCGATACTTTGGTCTACAGAAGCCGACCACGCATTCACCGCCTGCAAGAATGAGCTTGCAAACGCTACGTTGTTGAACTATGGTACATGGCACCAAACTCGCAATTAACGCCTACCACCGATGCATCCGACGACGCCATGGGTGCCGTAGTACATCAGATCATCAACGGGCAGACACAACCACTGGGTTTCTTCTCCAGGAAATTCACATCGACGCAAAAGAAGTACAGCACCTACGATAGAGAACTGACTGCCATCTATCAGGCCGTTTTGCACTTCAAGTACGCACTGGAGGGCAGAAGCTTCGTAATTTTCACCGACCACAAGCCGCTTATGTACGCCTTCATTCAACAGCGAGAAAGCATCACCTCGACGCGCTCGGCAACTGGATTTTATCAGCCAATTGAGCACCGATATCCGGCACATCTCTGGAGAAGAAAACAACGTGGCTGATCTTCACTCACGCATCGACGCCATCAAACACATCAACTTCGACGAGATGGCACTGGAACAGGAAAACAATGAGGAACTACAATCGCTTCACATTCTGTAGCCGAAAATACAATTTCACTAAAAAAATTGTCTCTTTCAGGCTCAAACAAGCAATTGTACTGCCACGTCGCCAATCAGAACCAGAAGTTTCGTGTGTGCCCAAAGCATGGTTAAAGCTCTTTATTCGCTGAGCCATCCAGGAGTTAGGGCAACGAACAAGTTGGTCAGCAAACACTACGTTTGGCCCCGCATGGCGAAGGATGTCTCTAAAATCGTACTCTCTTGCATCCCGTGCCAAAAAGCCAAAATCCAACGTCACACCAAATCGCCACTAGAACAGTACACCACCAGCGACGCCCGTTTCGAACACATAAATATCGACATATGTAACTACATAGCCAACTGGCCCATTGCCTTCATCGAACGGATACCGATACTGCCTCACGTGTACCGATAGTTTCTCAAAATGGCCTGCAGCAATTCCCTAAGTCGACATTACAGCACAATCTGTAGCCAACGCACTGATATCGGACTGGTTCGCTCAGTATGGAATTCTTTTCCACATCACAACCGATTTAGGTCGACAATGGGAGTCTACATTATTCTAAGAGCTTTCCAACATTTGTGGTTCAAAAAACATTTGCGTACGACGGCGTACCACCCGCAAGCCAATGGTATGATCGAACGCTGGCACAGAACGTTAAAATCTGCTTTAAAATCCGTCGATCCAATCAACTGGTTGCCCAATCCTACTAGGCCTACGCACAACAATTAAAAGCGAGTCTAATCGGGCTTGATAAATCGGGCTGAGCCCAGCTAAAAATGGTTTATGGCACCACACTACGGGTGCCAGGCTGATTTTTTGCACCGAGCACACAATTACACACCTAGTCCGAGTTCACCGAGGCTCTTTAAAAAACCATGTCTCAACTGCCAAGCACTAAGCCAGTGCACCATCATAATAAACCGCAAGAATTTGTGCACCCGGATCTAAACCATTGTAACCACGTCTTCGTCAGAGTGGATCGAGGGAAAACCACGTCGGCAGCAAACTACGAGGGTCCTTTCGAAGTGGTAACAAAACTCGAAAAATATTTTACGCTCAAAGGCCACACAAAGGACAACAAGTTTTCCATCGATCGACTTAAACAAGCTTACATCTTCAAAGACCAAACGCCTCCGACACAGGAGCAGACGACAGTGCCAACTGCCTAGCCACCCGAGCAAGTGTCACGATCAGGAACACGAATCAGATTCCCAGCAAAGTATCTTTCCCAACTGGAACTCTAGAAACTCTCTCTAGCAACCCTCATCAGTTCTCGTTAGCACGACCAAACTCGATAACTCACGCGAGTATCGATATTGCGGGAGTAAATCTCCGACACACTCTCTCTCTCGCCTTCGAAAGCTTCGTCCGCCGCCATTTCTGAGTCTTAGCCGCATTCGTCTCTTGATCATTTTTCTAGTTTTAAATATATGTGTATAGTGAATAATAAATATATGAACATTAAACACTCTCTCACATTCCCTTCTCCCTTTTGTAACATATACTTACATACTTATACTTAACGTTAGGCTTGCAAGGTGTCGAGTCTGCATTGTTTCCCGATCCCCAAAAACCAATAATATGTGACCACAAAATTCTCTGCTCGCTTATTAACAGTGTAAACGACTCGAAACGATTGGAAATATTATTTGATACTCCAAGCAACACAGTTATTTTTTTTGCAAGCTTCCTTTCAGCATTCTATTGCGTTTTAGACTTCATCTACTGCCTAGGTCACGGGACTATAACTCGCTTATGAATATGGAAGGACATACAAGTTTATTGCTTTTAAAGATTTCTTTAAATAATTGTTCGGTACTAAATGCATTGATATTAATTTAATGTATTGGTATCAGTCACATTGATCTGATTGATCGGATATGGTATAACTTTGGTGTTTTTAAAGTTAGAGAGTTAAAATATTACAAGAGAGTTGTTTTTTGCAAAATATTACGACGTGCCAAATTTCAAAAGGATTGGCCGACTATATCCTATAGCTGCCATATAACTGAACGATCGAAAATGACCCAACTTTCGTGTTTTTGAAGATTTGAAACTTTATACAGATTCTATTTTTGGTCAGATAATCCGACCTACCAAATTTCATAATGATCGGTCGACTATATCTTATAGCTGCCATATAACTGAACGATCCGGAATAGTTTTTGGTAGAAATACCAACATAGGTATTTTTAAAGATAGAAGTTTGGGAATTGTATTATTTTTGTATTATTATAATTTATTATTATTATTATCATATTCTCATAAGGATCGGCTAACTGTATCCGATGTTTGCTATATATATCCGGTTTTAACTGCAAGGGTATATCAACTTCGGCTCCGCCTGAAGTTAGCTTTCCATTCTTGTTTAAAATATAAAAGATGCTTAAAATAAATTTATCGTACCCTAGGATATAAGTCAGAACCTTGTTGCATAAGAGCGCCAATTGCAAACCAAAAACTATTTCTTAAAGTGAAATTATTTTGTATCCTAACTAACTCCACTTTTGTAACATCTGAAAGCTGTTCATCTTCACTTGATAGCGGTAATGGTAAACCACATTGTTCGCAGCTGATATCATCAACGTTGTGTGCATTGAAACGCAATATATTTGCTTTATGTGGATCATTACTTATACTTATTTTCTCATTATTAAGATTTCGTAGTTCCGCATGCTCCGTTGTATAATATTCTTTTTCAATTTTTTCTAATATATGTTCGCAAGCCATAGAGCAGGGTGGCTTGGCGTTAACCCATTCTATCGGTGACAGCCGAGCTACTATCCAAATTGATATTGAAACGAAAATATATCCAAATGCTATATAAACCCATATTTCTATAGCTAGAGGATTCATAAACGAAAAAAATTTCATTTGAGCTCGATCTGAAATCTGAAATAAAATAATTTATGTATTAATTTTGTATCAAGATATCAAAGAAACATTAAGCCCATTAGCCCATTAAGCCATTAACCTTAAAAAGAATTAATTTTATTGTGACTTTTTTATTTATACCTTTGGATTGAGTCCAGATCCTTGACGTAGGAACGTACCAGTTATAAACCAGAAACTATTTGATATGGAGAACTGGTTTTCAACTATATCCATTTCCTTGTAACATGGGTGAGGATTTTTCCACTCGTATGGAGAAAATCGAGCCATCACAAATAGAGCGAATGATACTAACATATAAGCAGCTAGCACATAAAGCCAAATCTCGATGGCCAATGGGTTCATAAAAGAGAAGAGTCTTGTAGGTTGACTGGTCGGCACCTATTAAATTTAGCCATATATGTATGTGAAGGAAAAACTGTTTTCTACAAAATTTAAAATTTGTAAATATTCAAGTAAGGGATACAGTAAGGGATTTTCTACACTTTCCTAAGAAAAATACATTGCAAAATATTACCTTAAACAGAATACCAATACCCAGGTTCATGAATGGTTTTGTAAAATCAATAACACTCTCTCGTGCGTAGTTAATAGTCATTGAAGCTACAGCAAGATCCGCCCTCTGGAGAATTTTTATTTGTTATTGATTTACATTGAAATATTTTATAGATTGAACACTTACCCTTTCCATTAATTCCTGAACAATACCATTCCATGTATTGGTTTCTGGTATATAAACACCATACATATTGTCGGGAACTAGTTCAATAGTGTATTGAAAGCCAACTTGTTGTGAAATTGCTTTAAGAAGATCGATACAAAAACCTTCAAACCTATCATTTCCAGTAAGATTTTTATCGTCTTTAACCATAACATAAGGACGTTCCTAAAAAAATAATATTATTGTCAGGATGGATTATTTATGTTGTATTTAAAATACATTGAACATTATTAATGAACATTACATTAAACATTATTAAGCCTAATGACCAATCTAAAAAAATATCTTAAGGTTTAAGGATCAAACAGCAATCATCTAACCTTCTTACGATATGCAACTTCCAGGAGGACTTGTTGCCTTTCAGAACTAGTCTAAATAATTAGGATTAATAAACAAGAGTCCTAATTAATAAGAATAGGTTATGATGAAGATTCCAGAAACTTGCATTCTTCTCGCATCATGCATTATGCTATCGGACGAGGATTTGGTGATCCCGGCAGCATCACCCGACGCACTGCACGCTGAAATAAGCGCTCCACTTATGTATGTATTTGTATACCCCTGCAGAGGGTATTATAATTTTGGTCAGAAGAGTGCAACGCAGTGAAGGAGAAATCTCCGACCCTATGAAGTATATATATGTCGGGGAAATAGAAGTTTTCTCCACGTCGACTCTCATCAGTCGCTTGATCGCTAGCTTGCTGCTCCTCCATTTTAAGTCCTGGATGATGCTGCGAGTCTTTGTTGCCTTTATTGCTTATAGCCGCCATTTACTCAACAGTCCTCAACAGGACACCACGCTAAAGCTCGGGACGAATAGAATTAACGAGTGAAAATTAGAAAGACAAGATCCAGCAACACAATGAAGCCACACACGGCCTCAGTTTGCAAACTGAGTCCCCATCATACCAGAAATGGTACATCTTTGCACGACCCATGGTCACACCATAGAGTCTCGGTCTAACGAGAGACTGAATTGTCTTCGTGTCTATAATAAACATCTGAATTTCATTCCAATTCATAATTTTAATCTCAAATTCGTAGAATGTTCCTTAACATAACTTAACTAAACTTTTACAAGCCAACTTTTAAATTCTTCGCCAAACACATGGCTTTACAAATTCATTAATCATATTACTCGTCCATCGCCCATAATTTGGCTTCACGAACTCATCAAACACATCAATCGTCCATCGCCCAACACTTCCAACAACTCTCGTCACGAATTCTCTTTTTCAACAGGCTTTTCCAACAGACTTCGTTCTGAACTTACATCAAGCTCTTCTGGAATTTTTACATCCTGTAACATTCGCAAACTTTCGTGTGGCTACTTGTAACGTCTATTGTTCTGTGTAGACTTTAAAACGTATCGATCTCCCTCCAATACTTCGACCACCAAAAAGGGTCCTCTGAACTTAGGATCTAGTTTCTTTTGCTGTCTCTCGGTGTTTTTAAGCAGCACAAAGTCCCCCACACAGAACCTTATTACTTTTGCCACATTTTTATCAAATTTTGTCTTCTCAGATCTAGCGGGCTTCTCCATATTCTTAGCAGCGAACTTCCTTGATTTAATCTTGTCAATTTCAACTTCGGTATCACTAATAGGTATCAACCCTAATGGTCCCTAATATCCCTAATATCAACCAATCAAAAGTTCTAAAAGACTACACTTAGTGCTACGATTAACTGTACAGGTAAGAGCTAACTGCACATCCCCTAGTGCATCCTGCTACGATCTAGAGCTTGTCTCAACAGCCATCAAAAGATTCTTCAGGGTACTCATGACTCCTTCAACTTGGCCATTGGCTCGACTTTCGCCCGTTCCAATTAGATGTAATTGTATTTTTTGGCTAGAACAAAATGGCACAAACTTTGTGCCCGTGAAGCTGCACCCCAGATCGGCAATTTAACGTGTTGGCACGCCGAAAGTGGCAATCGAAGATTTCATTGCATTTATACAAGTATTAGCATCCAAAGAAAAGGTGTGAAATAGATAAACGTATTTTGTAAAAGCGTCTATTTGTACAATGATGTATTCTTTACGATCGCTTTTTCCTGATATATCTATGTGAACAGGTTTTCCTGACGTACCCTTAGAAACTCTACATGTAATGCAGTTCTCCACAAATCTTCAAACATATTTTGCCATACCCGAAAACCAGTAATGATCGTACACTTTATCCAGTGTTTTCTCCCAACCTAGATGCATGATAGACTCATGTACCTGATTTATAACTGACCAGCGAAAAGTGTGAGGAACTACAGGTAATCAACGAGTTTTTGAATTTCTTTCAATCTTTCTATACAAGACATTTGATATAATTTCATAAGTGGCAACTATTGCCAGTGGTAAATCGTCATTCTTCAACTTAGTTAGGATTTCTGATATTTCTGGATCCTTTTGTTGTTCTACCATTATCCAATTCTCCGATATTTCTGTTAAGTCAATACGTTTTTCTTCTATTTTATTTGATACTAACTTATGTTTACCGTTCCTGTATTTATTTTCGAATTCAAATAATTGTAGAGACTCGCACCAACGATAAATCCTAGGTGACAACTCGATTTTATTTCGAGAAGATTTGATTGAGTCACAGTCAGTAAAAATTACGAATTTTCTCCCATGCAGATAGTAACGAAAATGTTTTAGAGCATTCACGACAGCCAACGTTTCCAATTCATATGATGTATATCTGGACTCACAGGGGCTAGTTGCTCTGCTAAAGTATTCAACCACTTGGGGCTTAAAGTTTATGCGGTGAAAAAGGATAGCACCATACCCGATAAAGCTGGCGTCGGTATGCAGTTCTATGGGAAATTGAGGTTCAAAAATAATCAAAACAGGCTTATTTGTAAATACATTTATGATTTTATTGCGAATTTGTTCATTTTGTGTTTGCCAATCAAACCTAGTCCGTCAGATGTGAGAAAATATAAAGGGTTCATCAGCTGAGAAAACCCCTGAATGAATTGACGAAAATATGACGCTAACCCAATGAACCCAAAGAAGTAACTGAAGGGAAGGGAACGCCACTAGGGTATCTATTTTGTTAAAATTTGGACGTATCTCCCCCGCTTCTATCTCATAGCCCAGATAGCTGCCTTCACCAAATCGTCTTATACAAGTTTCAAACGTTCATAAACTTCTTCTTTCATTTCTGAAACAATTAATAAATAACGAATGAGAAAGACTGCCAAGCGCCTTTAATACAGCTCTCTGAAACACTGAAGGTGCGTTTTTTAATCCAAAAGGAATCGCAAGAAATTCGTATTGTCCATCAGGGGTAACAAAAGAAGTATATTCAATTGATTTAGGGTGCATTGAAATGTGGAAATACCCGCTAGCCATGTCAAGAGAAGTAAAATATTTGGCTCACCTAACTCTAGCTATTTGATCTGATATTAACGGTAAAGGGAATTTATCAGCTACGGTATTTCTATTTAATTCCCTGTAATCAAAGCAAAGTCTCACTGAGCCGTCTTTCTTCTTTACCAACAATGCAGGGCTCGCAAATGGTGAGTTACTAGGTCTGATAACCCTATATTCGATCAATTTTTTAATTTTAGCACGTACTAACTCCCGTTCGCTTGGACTACATCGGTATGGTCGCCTTTGCACAGTATTAGTCGATTCAATTAAACAAATATGCATTTTCTCAGTATTCACACGAGTTTGCGGAGTGCCTTCGATAAAAGAGTATGTTTCTTTAGCAATGATATTAAAGTTTTTTTTTTCATTTTCGACGAATTTTATATAAATTAGTGGGCTGAATGATTTCACAAATGTTTACAACTTTAGTTTGAACAAATTCAAAACTATCATAGGAGACTTCTACTAAAAATCCTTGAGCCCATATTTCTCCAGTAGGGGGGGTAGGCCAGTAGGGGGGCGTTTCTGCCGCAAAAGATCCCAGAATTATTGAAGTAAGAAGTTGGGGGCGTCTTTTCGTGAATTCAAAAATAACGCGGTCAGCTTTATTGGGCTGCTTACAGAGGATTAACTTAACTAGTACAACAAAACGGACGATCGATGACGGCCGACGAGAGAGCGAGAGTGCATAAAGCCCGCGGCTTCTCCACGAGGTGCAGCAGAGTGTGGTGATCGTGATCACACACCTCACATTGCAGACTCGGCATCGGTAGGATTGTGTACCTCGAGTACATCTGCTCTCCAGTGACTGGGCGTGGCGACATCGTGCTGAATATGATCTTGGAAGACAGAATTTAACCCGGATCAGACGGATCATCAGATGATTGCCACCGTGCAGCCTGATGCGATGCGTAAATTAAAGGAGTTGAGGCAGAATTGTGCTCGCAACCTGAATCCGGTTCCGAACCGGGCAGAGAAAATTATTAAAAAGGCCTATAGGCCTGAAAATATAATTAAAACTGTACTGAAAAAAATGTTTCACATGCGCACCTAATCAGCATCGGTCTCAAGTTCCATATCCCTGAACTCAAATGGATCGTCTTCAATATTTTCAGTTAGCTACGATTAACTGTACAGGTAAGAGCTAACTGCACATCCCCTAGTGCATCCTGCCACGATCTAGAGCTTGTCTCAACAGCCATCAAAAGATTCTTCAGGGTAATCATGACTCCTTCAACTTGGCCATTGGCTCGACTTTCGCCCGTTCCAATTAGATGTAATTGTATTTTTTGGCTAGAACAAAATTGCACAAACTTTGTGCCCGTGAAGCTGCACCCCAGATCGGCAATTTAACGTGTTGGCACGCCGAAAGTGGCAATCGAAGATTTCATTGCATTTATACAAGTATTAGCATCCAAAGAAAAGGTGTGAAATAGATAAACGTATTTTGTAAAAGCGTCTAATTGTACAATGATGTATTCTTTACGATCGCTTTTTCCTGATATATCTATGTGAACAGGTTTTCCTGACGTACCCTTAGAAACTCTACATGTAATGCAGTTCTCCACAAATCTTCAAACATATTTTGCCATACCCGAAAACCAGTAATGATCGTACACTTTATCCAGTGTTTTCTCCCAACCTAGATGCATGATAGACTCATGTACCTGATTTATAACTGACCAGCGAAAAGTGTGAGGAACTACAGGTAATCAACGAGTTTTTGAATTTCTTTCAATCTTTCTATACAAGACATTTGATATAATTTCATAAGTGGCAACTATTGCCAGTGGTA